GTGCTGTGTCTGCCTTGTGCCCCACCGTCGTGGAGAAACCACGCCCCGAATTTTCGTGCCCCGGGTCTCAGTTCAAAGCCCTCAGTTCCAGGACGCGGGCTGTAGCCCAGTTCAGTGGCGCGGGAATGGCGCCTTTTGCACCCCGCTCCCGTGCCTGGGCGCCTGGTTCCTGCTCACTCAGGGAGGGACCTTCACCTCAGTGAGGACCTCCGTGAGTCTCCCCGCAAGCCTAGGTCGTCTCCCCGCAAGCCTAGGTCGCAGGCGCGGGGACCTGGGCAGCCGCGATCCAGGTCTGCACTTGCTTTTCAAGCGCGCCGAGCGCGCCGCTCTCTGCGCAAGCTTACCGGCAGCCCGGGCTGTGTGCGCGTCTCCCGGGGTCTTTGTTCTTCTCTATTGGCGCCAGGAGCCGTTCGCTCACCGCCGCCGCTGCGGATCCTGCAGGGTTCGCCTCAGCTCCCGTTCACGGGGTGTGGTGGCTGCAATAGTTCCTTTCCACGCACAGTCCCGCTTGCTGCGTCGTTTGTTCTTGTGGGCCGTTTTGGTTTGTTGTTTCCTCCTCTCTGCTGGTCCGGTCTCCCTCTCTTTCTCTTTCATGTTATGAATTTGTATTTCCCAGAGATGATTCCTTTTTCTAACTTTGCAAATAGTGAACTCCTAGTCACCCCCAAGATTCTTTGTTTGTTTATTTTCTCTTCCTTGTGTGACCTGAGTACGGTATTTCTTCCTTCAGTATAACCGTAATCATTATTCATTGTACTAACTTATTTTCTGCCTTATACACTAAAAAATATGAGCTCAAAAGACATCTGCTTTTGAGTAAATGCGTGAATAGTTCTATGAGCAAATCAGAGAAAGGAGCTTTCTTATATTCGCTGAGGGGCACATGTAACAGTTAACCAGATACTTGGTGACTTAAAACTATATAGATTTAATCTCATAGTTCTGAAAGTCAGAGTTTGGTTAGTATCACTGGGACAAAATTAAGGTATTGGTGGGACCATACTTTCTCTGCACACTCTAGCTGAATTCATTGCTTTCCCTTTTCAGCTTCTGGTGGCTGCTGGAATTCCTTGGTTATGGCCATACAGCTCCTTTCTTCAGAGTCAGTATCTCCTAATCTGTCCCTACATGGCCTTCTGCCTTCTCGTGGCCTTCATCCATGTGCATGTCAAGTCTTCCTCTGCTGTCCTGTTTACTGGGTATGATGAATTATCACACAAGTCATCTAACTTCATTATGGTTGTGTTTCTGGCTATAATCCATCATTGAATAAAATTCCCTTTCATTTCTGGATCTGTTAAAGTTAAAAACAAGTTTTATCTTCCCCAAATAAATTCTGGACATCAATGGTACAACAGTTATACATATCCCTACTTTAAAAGGCAAACATTAACAGAGAGAAAGGAATCTCTGGTCTGTAGGAATTTCAAAACCAAGCAGGAAAAACCCCATTAGATTGGAAAGATTTGGAATATTCTTTTTTTGCTTGAGACTCCATCCTGTGGACCACTTATCCTCTGAGACTGGGATTTTTTCCTTGGAGACTTTCTTCCTTTCTCTTGAAAGATGGCAGATGTTTGCAACTCAGTAGTTTTGTCTGCTTGCATAGAATTTGGAAGTCTGGCAGCCTTCCTTTCTTTGTTCTCTCTCTGCCTTTGTATGCTTTGATTTAGCAACCTCATAAATATTTTTTAGTGTATTAATATTTTTAATGAAGTACTATTGCTTTCACATCTTGGTTTTTTTTTTTTTTTTTTTTTTTTGACAGTATCAGATTTCTTCCCTCAGAGAGAAATAACTAAAATAATCACACGCCACAGTAAATGGTCATTATTCTAGTGAGGTTAACACTAAACAATCAATGTGATACACCACCTTGACTGAATGAAGGATAATTAATAGATGCAGACAATACATTGAAAATAAAAATTCTCCACAAGGTGGGTACAGAGACGATGTACCTCAACATAATAAAGGCCATATATTGCTTACCTTACCTATAGAATTCTTTACACCATATAGGAGAAAACATTCGCATATAATATGTCTGACAAAGGGTTAACATTCAGAAGCTATGGCAAACTCACCCAACACATAACAAACTAACTGAATGAATGAGCGATTGAGTAAATAAATAAATAAATAAATAAATAAATAAATAATAAGGAAGTGATTAAAAAGTGGACTAGGGCCTCCCCTGGTGGCACAGCGGTTGAGCGCTGGGCTGTGAAGTTGCCTGCAGCCTCTGCAGTGCTGGTTAGATCCCTGGCCACTGGGCGAGGGTCCCACATGGCGCAGACCTCTCCTGCCACCTGCTGCTCCCCTCAGCAGTGTATTTTGTCCCTCTGCCTGTTCTGTTCCCCGCTCTGGCTCTGGTGAATTCTCTCACCCTCCTGCGCTTCTGACTGTACCCAGTGCTTGTATAAATAAATAAATAAATCTAAAAAAAAAAAAGTGTCTAGACACTTTTCCCCAAAGGAGATATAGATATATATATATAGATATATAAATATACACACACACATATATATATACACACATACATATATATAGATATATAAATATATACACACACACATATATATATACACACACATACATATATATAGATATATAAATATACACACACACACACACACACATATATATATATATTATCAAAGAGGTACATGAAAAAAAGTTTTACTTCTTAAGCAACTGAACCTCCATTGGTTCTTCTCTGCTAAAATCCTGGCAAATGTAAATATTGGTACAGAGAATGTCTCTAAGGTAGCATAAGGATAAATCTGATAAATCGGTTCCATATTCTGGCATTTGTTCTCTCATTGAGTCATTGGAGAGGCAGTGAAAAATCTATGACAATGTAAATACTCAATTTGCCTAGACTGTACATGACTTGCATAATTGTGTATCTTCCTTAAAAGTAATCCTCATGCCCTGTAGCCATCAGCCTAAGTCAGGCTAAGATTCTGAAAACAAGGTTCAAAATGCCATCAGCCACTGTGTGACTGACCAAGTAAATTAAATTCCTAACACATATTTTGTGTTTCATTAAGTAAGAGCATTGATTGGGACATAATGGAGTCTGAAAATTGGAATTGGGTTATTTGGGAAGTTCCCAATGAAGTTGGAAACAACAAATTCCAAAAGTCTGTTGAGCCTTCTTTACAAACTGCTGAGCTTATCTATCCCAATAAACATTCCAGAAGTAGGGAATATTGTCAGGATTGGTTGGGTACACAGCACCAGCTTGGTGGTGATAACTTGCAGGGCTGAGGCAAAGTTCTGCAGGAGGATTCTATGCTCTATATCAGTGTTCAATGCAGTCATGTGTTGCTCACTTCATTTTGGTCAATGGCAGTCATATGTCAATAAATGACCTTGTCCCCTAGACTGTGCTGAGCATCTTATGGCAGCACGCCAGGCCATCAAGGCTAATGGAAGTGCACAGGGTGATACCTGCACAGTCAAGAATATCCTTGTCTTTAAGTGATGCATGACTGTATTTGGTGCTAATTCTTCCACAGCCAGGATTCACAAGTCCAAAAATCACAAATGGAAGAGGGAGTGCTACCACTCACTATTATCCCTGCTGATCTGCTTAGGAACATTTCATTGCTGGTAAAACCACCTCATGCTGTCAGTAGACCAGTAGATCTAGTTCCAAAGGCGGGAATGTTTCCACCAGGAGACATAATGGTGATTCATTGAAGTGTAAGTCCAACTACCACCTGCCCACTTAGGGTTCATGCCTTTGAATCAAAAGCTGTGGCTGCACTGGGTTGATCCAGATAATCAAGGTGAATGGTAGCTTCCTCCCCAAACAAGCTGATGAAGAGTGGGGAGTACAGGAGTTACCTGAGGACTTCACTGAGTGCTCTGTGCCCTGACATTAAAGTTCATGAAAAATGCCATGACCCAATCTGGGGGCAGGGTGATGGACCTGGTCCTTTAAGAGTGAAGAACCACAAAATCTGAGGTGCTTTGAGGACAAAGTAAGCATGGAATGGGGGTAGAGGAAGGTAGTTATAAATTTGGCTGTGGCCATATGACCAGTTGCAGAAATAAGGACTCTAATTATCTGCATGGTATCCCTCATTTCACTCGGGAGGTTGTTTTGATTAGGTGCATGTGTGTGTGTGTGAGAGAGAGATTTTTAGATCCTCTGTAACCCCTTCACATGGAACATGCTGTGTTAAGAAGAGCGTCTAATGTGCAGGGCCAGGGAGGTGGGGGACATCCTCCAGTGTGTCACTGTCTCCAGGAAGCTCTGTGAACTTGCAGATGCGCAGACACTTGGCACTCGTGGGACTGTATTAAAGGCTTTATTTGTAGACAAGGTGGAGTTGAAGGGAAAGTGTGTGGAAGCCAGGCCGCAAGGGGGACTGTGAGTTCAGTTTTATGTGTCAAGTTGCGTGGGGTGTGGAGCCAGTTACTCAGTTAAAGAATGTTCTAGATGCTTGTATTTGGAGATGGCTAACATCTCCATTCAGCTGACTTAAGAGAATCAGATTTCCTTGGTAATATGGGAGCAGCTAATCCAATCACTGAAAGACATTAAGAGTAAAGTTCTAGAAATTGGAAAAAACAGAAAAATATATTCCCTGAGAACCTCTGTAACACATATGAGAGGCCCAGTGAGACCTATTTCCAACTACTGATTCTTAAGTGTTAGTGTTAAAAGTCTGTGTTGTTGTAAATCACTAAGTTTGTGGTAACTTGTTAAAGCAGCAGGAGGAAACTTAAAAAGGTTCAGAGTAGAACAGAAAAGAAAGAAAGAAAAAATTCAGGGAGAGGACAGATAGACTTAGGACAGAGAGCATGTCAGAGTGGAGAGTTGAAATGCTGGAGGGTGGAGACAGGTGGACAGCAAACAGGACATCTGCAACAAGGGAGCGGAGTAAGAAACTGATTAGAGTCTGCAGATAGGTGTGCCAGAGGTAGGCACATAGAAAGCAGGGCATGGGCGGAAGCAGCAGCAGATGAGGCAAGATGGGATGGCCAGCGGGAGGCCCTCAGAGTTGGTCCATGTCCACAGGGTTACTGAAGCTTCGTGAGGCGCAGGTGGATTCCATTCTGTGACCTCAACACAACTTTTGCGTTTGGAACAGGGACCCTGGAGGGATCTGGCGCCAGCTCAAAGCGAAGCAGAGTCAGGGCCACGGCCACCTTCATCTCATTCATAGCAAACTGCTTCCCGATGCAGTTCCTGGGTGAGGATGGAAAAACAAAATGAGACAGGAATTCCAACCAAACTCTGAGTTGAGGAGAATTGGCCACTGAGTGTCGGCCTGGGAGTAGGCATTCACAGTCCCCCTTCATGTGACCTAGCCCCAACCTCATCCTTAGAGTCGCACACACTCTATCCACGTGGGGGGGTCACGCTCTCCCCTGACTGTGATGGTACCTGGCCTGCCCCCTGTAACACTGTCCTTCTTCCACCCTGGAACCCACCATCGGTAGTATTTCATTCAGGACACATCAGTGTGAGTGTCCAGTACAGTGTCAGGAACATGAGCTACAACCAATCTAATCTATGAGTGAGTGAGTAAGTGAGTAATTGAAAGAAAGAAGAACAAATAATGTCTGCCTTGGGTAGAGATATTTGTTACTTGACTGTGAACTCTTAGATTCAAGGTGCTATCTTTCATCTGTGTTCCCAAATCCCAGCATAAGACTTGGTACCCAGAGAGAAGCTTAATACAATCTTTCCATTTTAAATAAATTTTTAAACTTAAAAAATTACTGGAAATGAATAATGCAAAAGCAAACATTAGTTCTGACAGAGGCATTGGGTCCCTTGTGCTCTCTGACCTCTAGTGGGGGCACAATGCAGCTGATGACTAAGAAAAAGTCCTCAGCCCTGGAAGAAACCAAATCTTAGAGCAATCCTGGAGCACAATTAGCTAAAGACTTCTGTGACTGTTGACACAGAATAGAAAAACACACAGACGTTTGGGTTGATGAAAGACATTTTTGTCATAACTGCTTACAAAATACATGGAAGTCAGTATCTTGAGGGTAATTAGATGTTCATAGGAGCCATTTGAAGTACACTTGGCCAGATCAACAATTTCTAGTGTTCTTTTTATTTATCACAATAGAGTCCTTAAAAGTTATGCATACATATAATTTTCTGTCATATTGTTTCTAATAATTTTCTGTCACATTATTCATAGTCCATATTTGTATACTTTTTCCAATGTGGATTCTGTGTTCTCTGGGCCAAAGGTACCTAAATTTCATTCTTATGTAAATATAAATGCTCCATATTTTGTTGCTGAACACTTCAAAAATAGAAAATACAGAAATAGGTGTAAAGCTCCGGAGTGTCTGGAATTGTGGCCATCCTGATTACAGGATTTTAACTTAACTGGAATATCTGTTTTTAATAAATGTGTTGGGTTTTGGGAAAAAAAAAAAAGAGAAATAGGTGTAAAGCTTATCCAAATGGCTACGGTGAGCATTTTCCTATATCTTGAACAGTTAGCATGAGAGGGTGGCTGGAAATTCTATCACATGATGCTTGATATATATTGGTATCTGTGGAACAGGCAGTGGGTGAGCTGAGAAGAAGGACAGAGAAAAAAACAGTTTTTAAGATCACCGTTGCATGAGAAAATAAATATGTGAGGTTTAATTTTTATGAAAAATTCTAATTCTAAATGTCATGCTGCTAAAGAGAATACAGTGATTTTTGAACAGCCTCTGACAGTGAATTGTGTGTGACCTTGGGAAAGAACGTGGGTTAAGTCTCCTTGGCCCAGCCTGAAATGGCACGTTTCTCCTGCACACATATCAGTGCCCCTTCCCGATGAGCTGATATTGTGGTGGTCACTGCAGCCAGCACACACACGATGGGGGAGTCCCCATCAGGACATCACTTGAGACGCTCCATGCCCGCAAGGAGAGGCCCGCCTACCTGGACCCTCCTGAGAAGGGCAGGAAAGCATGGCTGTGCCGAGCAGCGCCAGGAGCAAACCGGGAAGGGTCAAACACCTGCAGAGACAGTTTAACAGGCTCAGGCATAGGGACAGCCCCTCCTCCCCTGACCAGGGCGTGGCCTCCAGTGGGAGCCAGAAGAGCTTTGGTCAGGAGAGGCCCCCACACCCCGGCCTGCCCACGTACCTCAGGGTTTGGCCACACATTAGGGTTGTGGTGCAGCCCATAAATGGAGAGCGCCACAAAGATTCCTGTGGGGCAGGGAGGAGAGAAGTGTGAGGACACCCTGGGTTGGCCTGGTTCCCCACCCGGAGGGGACACGTGCATGAGCAAAAGCCCAGAGCCTGGACGGCCATGATGTGAGTGAAACGATCTTGTGGCAGAGCGGTGGGCAGACACGGCACAACACGTGTGCAGTCAGGAGGAAAGCGAGTAGCCAGGAGGGGAAGCTGCAGAGAGCAGGACGCTCCACTGAGGCAACAACTCACAACTATCACTCCCTTCCGTGAGCATTTGGGGACTTTGCAGTAAACGATTCAGTTCCCACAGTCACCCTCCGGAAGTCCTCTCATCCATGGCTCACATGAGGTGCCAGAGGCTCAGAGGATGAGGGACCCACAGCCAGGATGTTCAGGACAGGGGTTAGACCTGGTAGGGGTGCGGTGAGGAGGGCCTTCTCCCACAGCTGCGCTACAGGTCTGGTTCTTGGCCTCACCTGATGTCTGCTCAGAGCCTGGACCATGGGCTCATGTGTGAGGACCCCATGACCTCCCCAATCTACCTGGGGCCCATGGGGGGGACCACATCTTCCTAGCTGCTCTCTGATTTTCAGTTCGCCCACGCCCAATCTTACAAGGAATTGTAATTTTATTTCTAAATTTAGGGCTAAGATTTAAGGATGGAGCTTTTGCTGGAGCAAGTCCTGAGCCATGCAATTCACACATCTCATGCTCATTAAGTAAGTATAGATATTCCTTAGGAATAAAGAAGATGCAGGGAAAGCAGGAGTTCCCTAGGACACATGGATTTTTATTCATCCATGTGTCTCAAGGGGTTGCTGAGGGAGTGGTGTAGCCCATCTCACCCTCAGGTAAGGAGCGTCCATCAGGGAAGGTGACCGGCTTGCTGAGCTCCCTGCTAATACCCGGCACTGGTGGGTAGATTCTCAGCGCCTCCTTGATGCACATGGTGGTGTAGGGCATCTGGTCCAGGTGGCCCCTGAAAGTGATGCATCCTCAGATTTTAGGCACAGCCTGGGCACACAGGGGCTCTCTTCTCAGTGGGCAGGGCCCTGCCGCCTCTGGAGCACTCACCAGCTAAGGGAGGCGCCATCCCCCAGGAGGCCCTGCAGCTCCTCCCTGCACCTCTGCTGGTGCTCAGGGTGGGTGGCCAGCGCATAGAGGATCCAGGAGATGCCGCTGGCCGTGGTGTCGTGCCCCTCGAACATGAACGTGTCCACTTCTGCCCGGACGTCCGCGTCGGACAAGCTGTCCCCATTCTCCATCTGGGGAAGGCCAGGTGACACTGGGGGGCTTGCTCCTTCCTGGGGGCGTCTGGGCAAAGCCTAGACCTCTCCTACACACACTCACTCTGGCACGGAGCAGGATGTCCAGGAAATCCAAGTGCCTCTTCTTGCTGATCTTTTCCAGCTCGCCCTCCTTCTGCAGGTGAGCCTTCCTCTGCCGGATCACACCATCTGTGCAGAACACTCTCGCTCAAACATCTCCAGTGTGGTGTAACCCCTGCACGGAAGCTGGTAACCTACGATCTCCATTCCCAACACTGCACGAGGAGTGTACCCAGCATTGGTATACTGAGGGGCATCAGGCCTGGTCCTGGCTAATGCGTTAGGTCCAGGCCCTTGGATGAGCCTGATGAAGGAGGGGGCAGCCCAGCAGCTGGAACCAACCTGTGTGCTCATGGGCCACCTGGCAGGCCTGGTGGAACTTGCGGCCTTCAGGGGTTAGCCTGTAGATGATGTCGTTCTGGTGGAAAGCATTCCTCAGTCGGGCAACGAACAGGTTCTTTATGTCGTCAATGGCCTGGATGTAGGACTTGGAGTTCCTGAGGGGGAGGAGGCAGAAGATACTGAAGAGGAGCACCCTCAAACCTGGAGGGGGATGGGATCTGGGGGGGTATCCTCAGCATGTGGGGCAGTGACAAAGACACATGCCATTTATGTGTACAGCTTTGTCACCCTGGACCTTACAAGGGGAATGAGCTTCTCCCTGTCCAGGGGTCAGGATCTGGGGACAATGAAGGTTGGTCTGGGCTGGAATTTGCCCCTGGTCTGTCCCAATCATTAGAATCTCACTTTTTGTGCCCATGTGGACCCACATTGCCCGAACTGCCTGCCTGTCGGCGGAGGCCACACCAGTTGGTAAGAACAAGGACCCACATTGGAGGATCCCCACTGACCCGTCTGTCTGCACGCTGCCCTGGTGGCTGAAGGCGCACTTCATGATGCTGTCCAGGGTCATATAGGAGATGGGCTCGAAGATCTCAAATGGGTTCGGGCCGCTGAGCTGCTGCCATTTGTCCTGTGGGGCAGGGGACATGGACCCTCCTCCACTGCACAGAGGCCTCGGCTGTGGGGCTGGGCTCTCCCTGTCTCTAATTATTCACATGCAATTTCCTCACTTTTTTAGATAGTTTTTAACAAGTTATAAATATAAAGTAAGTGTTTTCTTGAAATGGTATTTTCTGAGAAATTTTCATTTTATATTGAATTGTCCACCCCAATTTTCTGACTTTTCTGACTTTTCTGAATTTTATGACCAAGCTATGATTATGATCATGTGATGCAGAAAGAAACATCGTTCCTCAGGTTCATAGGTGAATATTCTTAGGCCTGAGACGTGAACTTGACCAGAAGGACAGCAGAGGTCACAAGAGATTAGCCAAAGCCAGAGAAAGCATAAGGGCCAGTCCTGGTCTCCTAAGGCAGGGACATGAGGGACATCAGTTCCTTTTGTCATGCAATGTTAGTTGAGCGGAGTAGGGTGAGGAGTGGAGTCCTGAGAGAGGTGAGGCAGAGGCAGGAGCAGCACTAGATGCAGATTGGTCTCCGTCTCCTCAGGAACTGGGGCTTCCAGTCCTTGGAGGAGCTCCGAGCGCCAGGCCAGCACCAGAGGCTCAGCATTCTGGGATGTGAGCCCTGCATGGAAGCTGCCCATATGGGCCAGCCTAGGGGGGCACATCCTGCGGCTCAGGGGATGGGCACTCCTGTCCATGGGGGTTGGGGACGGAGATGTGGGAAAAGGACCTGCTCTCCACTGTGGCTCTCTCTCCAGTAGGATATAGCCAGTGGGATGAAGGTTGGCCCTGGCACCTGCTGCCCTCGCTAGTTAGGGAGCGTGTCCTGAGAGCGTCCTCTGGGCGGCTGTGTCTGGGCATCCGAGGACGCACACGTGTGAGGGTGGAGTCTGGGTTGTGCTGTGTGGATGGCCGGGAGAGAGGACAGACTTACCAACATCACTCGCACAGAGTCGGCCACGAGCCCCACGTAGGGCTTCAGGATGTCATAGTGGAAGGCTGGGGTCAGCATCCGCCGGTGCTGGAACCACGGCTGCCCGTTCAGCAGGAGCAGACCGTACCCTGCACCAGAGAAGGATGGGGGTATTGGGCTGGTGGGGCTGGGGAGTTAGACAGCATCAGAGAGGACACTGGCCATAATTTGGGGGGAAACTAGGATATCACAAGAAGTACTTCATGCAGAAAGACAGGACAGCCCAATGCATTTCCAGAAAGTGATTTTAACAAGTGACAGGCACTTGGAATGTGGTTAAGAAGCTATGAGATAAAGGTGGAAGGGTCAGGGGGCAGGTCACAGAAGCAGGTGAATGAAAGTGGGGCTGAGAGGCTGGAGAGGGCTGAGAAGTGAGGGAGGAAGCTGTGCAGGAGGCCCTCAGCCCCAGCAGGTAGGGGTGAGGGCTTATTAGAAAAGTAAGGCTTGATTCAGTCTTGAAGGTGCTGACATGGAACTGTCACCTGCTGTTCTCTGTGCCAAACAGATAGTTCTTGGCAGGCCTACCTGGCAAATGGATCTCAGTTGTTGTACTCACCAATCCCAGGGATTGGTTGTTGTACTCAGTCCCAGTTGTTGTACTCACCAATCCAGGGAGCTGCTAAATTGTAGGAACCTTTAGCTTTGGGGTCTGAAAGGAAAGAATAGTAAGAAAGCAAATTAGAGGATACCAAATAGGTGACCCACGAGGAGCCGTGGTCAGACCATGGGCTCCATTCCTTCCTGAGGATTGTCAACTGGTGCTTGCCTCAGGCCTCTCACTTGCCTCCTTTTCCCATCCTGACTTTCTCTCCTGAGAGTCACTGGACTCAGGAAGCCAGACTCAATTTCCAGCATCAGCTCCCCATGGCATTGGGATGGTGGATTTGCAAGAAACATCTCTGTTCTCAATGCCAAAGAATGTGCTGGAAACCTGAGATTCTCTACAATTTAAGGTGACTTAGGCATCCCTTGACTTCGGTCAGGCAGCAATTAGATGTGCCAAACCCAAGTCAGTGTGGGCAGGAAATGATCTTCATATCTGGGGTGATTTACCTAACAATTCATTAGGCATTTGGATAAAAAAGAAATTTGTTCCAGGCCTCTATTTCAGTGTTCACTTGGAGTAAAAATGGTAGTTGAAGTTCAGTATTAGGCAGCAATCTGCAGTCACTTCTGGAGGCTCACAGACCGTGCCCCCCAGGGGAAGAGCTGCTCCTGCCAGGGTAAATAACGTGCTCTCACCTGACCTCCCGAGAATCACTTTCATGTAGTCAGGGTCGTACACCACGAATTGGGCACTTGTTCCCCAGAGCCAGCGAGGACAGGCATTCGGGAATTTCTCCACCCTTTTCAGTATTTGTTGTAGCTCATTTTTTTGGAACTGTCACCAAAGGAAAAACATTAAAGATTTTTTTCATGCGTGGATGGGTTGAAGGCAGGATAGTCACAGGGAAATAGTTCCAGATATCACAAAACCTAAAAGTTCATTAGTATTTCTTCAACCTGGACTCTAGTCCAGACTCCTGGTTGTACAAGACTTGACCGAAGGCCTTCACACAAAACTGGTATTAAAACTTAATCAGGGGGCCTCCCCGGTGGCGCAGCGGTTGAGCGCTGGGTTGCGAAGCTGCCCGCGGCCTCTGCGGCGCCGGTTCGATCCCCGGCTGCTCCCCGGCCACCGGAGGAGGGTCCCACATGGCGTGCAGACTTCTCCTGCCGCCCGCTGCTCCCCTCAGCAGTGTACTTCGGTCCTTCTGCCTGCTCTGCTCCCCGCTCTGGCTCTGGTGAATTCTCTCACCCTCCCGCGCTTCTGACTGTACCCAGTGCATGTATAAACAAAACAAACAAACCAGCAAACAAATAAATAAAGCATGCCTCTATAAAAAAAAAAAAAAAAAAAAAAACTTAATCAGGGATTGACGTCACAGTGTACAAATATTGGGAATCATTAGGCAACAGTGAAGTAACATATGTATGGCACTGTATGACTGGGAAGCAGGTTCATCGTATAATTTTGTTAGAGAATAAAGTGGATTCTATCTATTAATATAGAAACAGAAATTTATATATTGATGGTAATTTCCCACATTAGTTTAGCATGTTTTTAAATTGTCCAACAAATGTATAAATATTAGTTAATATAAAATGGTTTTGAGATATATGTGATTAATGAAAGTAAATTAAATACTAAATTATATATGTATTTTACATACTTTATATGTACATATTTTAAGACAAAGTCTGGACGAACACCTATGAGAATGGTGTTGAGGTCTGATTTTGGAATTGGGATTTTCTGTCTCATTTTCCCTTACTAATCCCAAAGAAGCTTTGTGAGCTCCCATGGCCTGCAGTAGACATAAAAAAAGCAAAACTCCTGAAGGTGGAGCACAAAAGCCTGTGCCTACCTTGTCTTCCCTGCTCCTGCTGAGCTGGCAGCCCCAGGGCCCCTGCCCCACCCCACAGACGCTGCTGCTCTGCCCCAGCTAGGCCTGCTCTCCCTTCGCCAGAACACAACTCCTCATCCAGCTGTGGTGCCCCTTCTTCAGCACAAGCAGATGCCTCCCTTCAACTTTCAAGACTCAGATTTAATTTACTGTCTTTGGAATTCTCAGAAACAATCGGCTCTAGACACATTCCATTTAGTCAACTCTTCTTTGTTCCAGCTGTTACATGTAACTCAAGGCAGCCCCCTGCTTTGCAGTCTCCAAGCTTTGTGTGTCCTTCTGACACCAGGATAGACCAGCTCTGAGACAACTTCGCCAAATGAGGACAGGTTCCCTCAGTCAGTACCCAGTCCGCGAGCACCCACCATGTGCCAAGCTCTGGGTCCAACACTGAGGCAGGGTATGGTACAGACCCTCACCTGTGTGGAGCTTCTGGTCTGGTTGGTATGAAAGAAAGATTAAGAAGCAGGACAAAGATAAACTCATGCAATTTGCAGCAACATGGATGGAGCTGGAAGGGATCATGGTCAGCGAAATAAGCCAGAAAGAAAAAGAAAAATACCGGATGGTCTCACTCATAGCAGGAATTTAGAAAACCTAAATAAGGGACCAGGAAAATGACTAATTATAATAAAGTAAAAAATCAAAATCAAAATCAACAAGCAGCTGTAAACCAGAGACACACTATGGGGGTGGGGGTGAGGAGGGAGTAGGATCAAAACAAAGGTGGTGGGAAGTGTATGGGGACTATAACCAAGATGAAAATGCATACATTGTGCAAAAATGAAAAAATGATGTAAAAAATATATAAAAATTAAGTAATAATAATAATAATAAATAAGTAAAAAGTAGGACAAGAGGCGATAATTAATATGTGATGGAAGGAAGCCCAAGCCTCTGCAGAAGGGACCTGACTCAGATTGAACATGGGACTCAGAGTGAACAGAGGGCCGCCCTTGGGCCCTCATTCAAGGAGGCATCATTCACGAAGACTTTTGGGTTAACAGCTGGATCAGAGGCGTCTCTCCTGGAAGAGCTCACAGCTGGGACACTGCAGACAAAAGGAGCTGGGGCAGGGTGGCGCTGCTCCAGGAGAGACCATGCAGGGGTAAGAAGTGTCCCCTGTATCCTGAGAGACCCAGAAGCACAACCTGGAGAAGATGATTTGGGCTGGGCTTTGTCAGATTACATAGATGGGCAAGACCATTCAATGTGAAGAGCTAAGACCTGAGAGGTGAGCTGGGCTTTCCCTCGAGGCCACATGAAGGTCCCACAGCAAGGCTTGGTCCAGTAACTTGCTGACCTTGACCATGCCCTAAGAACCTAGCCCTCTCTGCCCTCCCACTACCCCCACCCCCTTCCTACCTCCTTGGAGTGTCCAAAGAGCCAGTGAGAGGGCGGGCACGGGAACTGCTGGAGGGCTTTGAGCAGCCACTGCCTGTGCAGGTAGAGCTGGGCGGCCTTGATCAGCAGCAGGACCAGGCTGAGCAGGGAAGCCACTTGCAGGAGCCCAGACACACTGGCCAGGGGTCTGATGGGGCTCAGCACAGAAGCACTCATGGTGCAGCAGCTTCTGGGTGGCTGACTGTACTGGTGTGTCCCTCACCACCCCTGTCCATCACAGTCACATAAGTACTCCCTCAGTGAAGGATTGCTCCGCCCACACTGGAGGGTGTTGGTGATTGGTGAGGGCAGAACTCAGGACAGTCAGCAGAGGTGGGTCATCCACCTTGGAACACTAGGGTAATAGCTTTCTCAGCTGACATTGACTGTGTACACATTAACTTTATTCTTACCAGTTTCTTCAGCAATCATTCAGTGAGCACCTGCAATGTACCAGGCAGTGTGAGCACAGTGGTAAACAAAGCAGATATGAACGCAGATTTTAAGTAATCCACATTCCACTTAATGTAGCCATTTTATCGTCATTTTTATTCAGTAGCATTTCTTTGATTATATGATATAATAGAATTCTCATTTTTATATGTTTATTCACAGCCTCATATCAACCAAGTCTTTAAATATGTCTTATTATAATACTATTGTGTTTACCATTAGCAACCTCTTTGAACTATATATTAAGTGATAATGAAAATTATTTTCTTTCTGTTAACTGACTGACTGTGGTATGAATGAAGAGATGTGAATGCACCAGCCTTTCAAGCACCATTCTATGTGACATTTGAGAGACTGGTTTTGCAGTATCTATAAGCAGGATTCCTTCTCCATTCAAATACATGAGAATTTCAATAATTTTACATAATCTTAGTTGTGATATTTTCCACTAGCCCTTTCTTTTATCAACTTTGAAAGATACAACAATTTCATGGAACTCCTAAAGATTTAGCAGCAGAATTTTGCTAGTTCTCTTTCATTCTGTAACAGATGATTATATTATTAAAGCTTTCACAGTGTGGACATATAGTAGACAAGAAAATAAAATAGCAGGGACCCAAATAAGGAAGGAAGAAGTACAACTGCCATTTTTGCAGATGACATGATAATATACCCAAAAGCCCTAAAGACTCCACTCAAAACCTGTTAAACAGGATAAGCGAGTTGAGTAAAGTAAAGTGATAGGAGTCACTTTACAAAGTCAATAAGCAAAATCTGTTGCGTTGCTCTTCACAAACAATAATCTGTAAGAAAGAGAAATGAAGAACACAATCCTAATTACAATCACATCAAAAAGAAAAATTACTGGGGCCTCCCTGGTGGCGCAAGGGGTTAAGACGCAGCACTATGAAGCTATCCGCAGCCACTGCAGCACGAGTTCAATCCTCCACCAGGGAGGTGACCCAATGGCACAGCAGACCCCTCCTGACTTGCCGGCTGCTTCCCTCAGCAGTGTATTTCAGTCAATCTGCCTGTTCTGTTCCCTACTCTGTCTCTGGTGAATCCTCTCACCCCTCCATACCCCAGTTCTTATATACATAAATAAATAAATCTTAAAAAAAAAAAAGGAAAAATACTTAGGGTAAATTTAACAAAGGACATAAAATACCTGAACACTAGACACTATAAGACATTGTTAAAAAAATATAAGAAAGCACAGATAAATGGGAAGATACTCTGTGTTCTTGGATGGGAGAGGAACATTCTTCCTTTCTCTTGAGTGATGACACATTTGTTTTGCCACCTTGAGTTGCCGGCAGGTACTAGAAACTGGAGTTAGAAATTTGAGGTGGTTGTCCAAACACTGAGACTTTCCTGCTGTGTGACCATGAGAAAGTCCATTATCATCTCTGGGTCTTAGTTTTCTTGCTTGTAAAATAAGGTTAATATACCTAGTGCATTGAATTGCACTTGTGCTTTGGAAAGCTCAATTGCTACATAAATTATGAGAGACATTTGGGGAACCTTTACTTTTGCCAGCTCCATGCAGGGTACTGAGTAGGAAACCTCCCTGCCCCACCTCTTCTCACTCCAAGTGGAAAATGAGGTACAGAATGTCCTTACTCACAAGTAATCGTGATAGTTCCGTGACTTCTCTTAGATGGGAAATACGGTCTAATATTTAGTCTTAAACACATTGCTTAGGTGGTACAATCTTTGTAGTTTGTAGAAAATAAACAAGTTATGATGAATGAAACCCAACTTTATCAAACCCCAAAATACAAGAATTTCCAGCGGTGATTGAGTCACAGAACTGATCTCTTCCAGGTGCCACCTTGGGTTCACTGCCACTCTCCTCTACTTTTCTGTTGCCAAAAACAGGAACCAGGAGGCATTTAAAATAAAATTATTCATTTCCTTTTAAAATGGCACTCAGAATCAAATCTGGTCCATTATAGATGGTGATCTAAGGTCTAAAGTTTTCTTCTCATAGATCCATTCATTCATTGATCCATTTATTCATGAAATCAGCAAGGATTTACAGGGCACAGTAAGCACTGTGTGTCCCATGGGAGGGGTCTGGACAGGGAATCCTCATTGCTTGGGGTTTATGTACACCTAATACAAGGAAAGCTGTTGCCGATTAACAAATGCTGACCATTGCAAGCACAATTGTTGTAAGCATTGAACCACTATTATTCAATTCTGTGTTCTGCTTTGGTCACTTTATTGTATAATTTCTCATATCATTAGAAATTTTCCATAGACGTCATTTGCAATGGGTGATAGTCACTTGGTTTACCTGACACCTTCTTACAGAAGCTGCCCTGGAGAGTGAGGCTCATGTTTCCCTCCACATGGGGAGCTGATAATCTGAAAGACACTTCTGCTGCTTGATAACAGTAGATCAATTAGATTGAATGTGAAATGCTCCCCTTAAATATTTGGGGGTCACCATATATGGACTGGAGGCTCAACCTAATAATCACCTCTTTGCCTTAATGGTCAATAGCAAGGTCTCTGGATCCTGCTTTTTTTGACTTGAATCCTGGTGCAACCTCTTACCAACAAGCTCACCTGGGCAAGAGTGAACATCTTTGTACTCAGTTTTTTACACAGAATATGAGGATTTGTAAAAAAAAAAAAAAAAAAAAAAAATCTGTTAGTAGAACTGTTGGGAGAAAAAAAAAAGGATGAAATTTTTGTTCAGTACCTAGAACATGTAGTACTCAACAAGCATTAGCTATTAGCAAACATTGTGAACCCATGTATGTAGAGAAAAATGAGGATTTAGAGAGGAAGATAGATTTACAAGCAAAATTCAAACCCAAACTCTGTAACTTCAAAGCTCTTTCTTTTACTGCCTTTGCACTATGGGTGAAAAGCTGATGCTGATCCAAGTATGTTAAGAGTCAGGGTCCAAGAGTCCCTGGGGCAGGCATTTGAGAGAGGTGAAAATTAACTACCAAACTAGGGAAAGAATAGAAGAACTGCATTATCAGTTACATGACCCTGCCCTTGAGTTTGGACAGGAACCTGGTATTTAGGAGAAGGAGCAAAGAACACTGGTCCCATGGGTTGTGTAATAAATCACACGTCACAAGTTAGGACAAAGCTGTAGGTGCTGGAGTAAGAGGTTTGGTGGGTGAGGCAACAGGTTAGCAAGTTATGGGGCCATATGGCAGGCTGCTTTTCCAGTTTTTCCTGAAATATATTTGTTTTTACTTTTGAATTATGGCTCTTGGATATAATTTTGAAGGAGATAATCATGAAATAAAAAGAGAGCAGTGGTGATTGGAAGGTAACGTGTCTTCATCCCTTGCTCTTTCATTTGTTATATCTTTGTATTTATCAATCTGATTCCTTTTTTCTAAAATTGCATGTAGTGAACTCCTAATCAGTTCCAAAACCTCTTTATTTGTTCGTTTTCTTTTCCTTGGATGGCCTAAATCTACTATTCCTTCCCTCATTATGCCCTTTGTCATATTTATTATACTCGTTTATTTCAACCTAAAATATGAATTTAAAAGGTACATGTTTTTGAGTGAATGAAAGATTATTTCTGTGAGCTATTCAGAAAATGGATTACGATCCTTTCTACATTAGTTTGTGGGACAAGTATAAAAATTAACCAGACACTTGGTCAATTAAAACACTATAAATTTAGTCTTGAAGTTTTGATGGCCAGAGTCTGAAGTCAGTATCACTGGGCCAAGATCAAGGTACTGGCTGCTAGAAATCCTTGGTTTTTTTTTTTTTTTTTTTTTTACTTACTGCGCCTTTCTTCAAAGTCAGCATCTTCAAATCTGTCTCTAACCTGTCTTCTTGTGGCCTTATTCTATGTGTGTGTCAAGTTAAACTCTGCCTCCCTGTTATGAGGATACAAAAAATTTAATTTTCAGGGTCCAGTGGATAATGCAGGATAGTCTCCAGAGATGGGGGATGCAGCCCTATGGGCACAGAGGGGTTGGGACCATTGGTTCTGATTCAGAAAATATGGATGTTGGCAGTTCTGAAAATGGGGCATCCTCCAACTCCCTGGAGGGAGATCATAGATAGAGATGTGTTACGTACCACAGAGAGCACCTGGCTAAAGTTCAACTTGAAGGCTGCTGAGGTTTACCAGTAGCCTGGATTGGGTTCATCCTGGAGGCTGCTGAGGTTGATCAGCAAGCCATGACCGGCCTTAGCCTGGAGGCCAAGGTCGACCAGAAAGATGGCACAGTCTCAGCTTGGAGGTTGCCAGGATTAAAAACTGGCCGAACCTGAACTCAGGCTGGAGGGTACCAAGGTAGCGGCCCTGGCTCAGCCTGGATACTACTAAGGCTTATCAGTAGGCTGGTACTTGGTGCAGCCTAGAGGCTGCCAAGGTCAACCAGAAGGCCAAACCTGGGCTACATAGAAGACTGCTGAGGTCAATTAGAGAGTTGTCCCTGGCAATCCTGGAGGTCACATCAACAGCTGTGAGTCTTAGACTGTAACTGAACTACATGCTCCTAAACTATAAGGGCTGGGAAGCTCCAGCATACAACAGAGGCCTGGAGCTCAAGGAGCTAGAAGCCCCTGGGCGCAGCCTGAAGGCAGTGGAGGTTGACCAGCAAGCCAGCACTGGCCTTAGCCTGCAGGCTGCAGAGGCCAACCAGAAGTAGGCCTTGGTCGAGGTGCAGCCAGCCCTGGTTCATCCTAGAGGCTGCTGAGGTTTACCAGTAGGCTGGGCCTGGATGCAGCCTGGAGGCTGCCACGTGGACCCAAAG